AAAAAAAGATATGGAACGTGAGGTCGCACTCATGATATATTGAGCTTTCTCAAACCTGAGTATGATGAAATATTCAGGATTCTACAACATGGCTCAAACTGCTTAAAAACCTGCTTCCTAAACTAAAAAAATTCGATAGAAATGCTCCAACATCGCTTCTCATACCAACAGCAACACTGCCTGCGGTACAGTCATGATATCTCCATATTCATTATATCGCACCGCACACATACCTGCTGGCCCAAGATTCACAATTGTCGCCAAGTAGTACTGAAATATTAACAAATTAGGAGAGAAGAAAAGAAATGTAAATGAGAGATGGGAAAAACATACCGATCCATCCGTCCATGGTGCTTTACACTGATCTCCTACTTTCCATTGCGGCAACACAACATGATTTTTTGAAAATCGGTGCTGGGGTGGTGGTGGAGGGTAAGATACATCAGGCAGAGGATTTCGTGAAGTATTGCTAATGCGCATGTTGGAAAATGCTTGAAAAAGCAATGATATAGTTCAACTTCTGCATTAGCCCTTAGCTTACCTTGCAGCGTTCCGTTTGGAATGAAATTCATGTTCTGTATAGGCGTTTGAGAGTAAGAACCTTGATTGCCACGAGCGTTTTGACCGCGCATAGGTTCTCTCCTCCTAAAGTGAAAGCTAAGACCTAGCAAATTGATTTTATAAAAGAAGAACTTACTGCTGACGTTCGTTCAAACTACGCTCGCCCTCTCTACTACGATTGTTCGTAGTTTGATTAGGTTGTTGTAGTTGTTGACTTACTGGCCTTTGTTTAGCATACTGCTTTCCTTGCTCTTCTTGTTGTTTCTCAAATTGTCGTTCATCACGGAACGAGGAAGGTCGCTGACCGCCTCTATCCGACTTCCGAAAATCGGAGCCTTCAGTGACTCCTTTCCGTTGTCGGTTACTTTCAAAACTAGGTCTGCCTGAAACAGACTATTGCGAAATAATACAAATAAAAATGTTTGCTTATAGCAATCTCAAGATTGAAGGGCATGAAAAACACAAAATTCACAGATTCCCTATAAAAAATTTCGCCACTCCAGATTTTACAATACTGTCATCAATATCATGATCACTTGGAAATGTAAAGCAATAAATCCATTAACCTCCTCGATTACTTCTTCTATCTGGAGTAAATCGGCCTTGCGTCTTCTGCGCGTTTCCATAGCCAACCCGCTCAAAGGCGCTGTTCTGGAAAAAAAAGATGACATTAGAGTAAACATATTAGTAAAA